GGAAGAAATTACTGTTGTGTTGTTTCCAGGCATAAGCTCGCTCTAGAACCAACCTACAATACCAATTTTATGAGTTCTCACACCCATTGTATTTTCTACACCTTGTTTCATGTAAATTAAGTTCCAGCCATTAAAATGATGCACACTAGTTTTAATCATCAAAATATCGGTACCAACTAGTCAAATCTTATTTAACATTGGCTTTAACAATCGTTACTAAAATTCTACGAAAGTAAAATTTCTTGCATTTCTAATTTGAAAAAGAACAAGCATGAAAGTAGATAAATCAAAAAACACACAAACAAATGGCAAGAAGTCAGATGAGACAAAAAAGAGGAAGGCATCCACAAAATTAGATGAGGCAACAGAAAGTCATCTACCATAGAGTCCTGGTTACTTAAGCCATTATCAAAATCCAACAAACCCAATCTCTTAACATCTGAATTTCCTTTGACCGCCTAGAAAGTAAATTAATAAAAAAATGTTTGGACACAAGTGAGATTTGATGACCAGATCAGTTAAAACATGAAATAGGTTGGGTTTACTTAAATTTGTGAACTCGATTTACTCACATTTGTGAACTTCAAACACGGACTGGAATCGGACGAGAAGATGGTGGAGAAGAATGGACTATGGAAGAAGAATATGAATGAATAAACGAAGCCGGAAGAAGAATGGATTGGAGTAGTGAGTGGAGAAAAGAAGAGAAGATGCGCGCAAATTGAAAGGGGAAATTGGGAATTAGGGTTTGGATTAGGTTGGGTTTATCTATACATATATAGGAATGGGTTTTAGTAAATAAACAAAAAATTGGTCTTTCTGCTCCTCATTATTTTTTTAACTATTTTTTTAGTTACTATTAATATATTTCATATTTGTACATCAAATGAACAAAGGTAGGTTGATAACACATCTCACAAACCCCTGTGACACTTGAGTTGGCAACCCATCAAACGTCACAAAACTAGAACTCAACCCCCACCAAAACTGTTGCAAAACTAGAACTAAGAAACGACTCTTCCTTAATATGGATGACAGTTATGAATGAAAGAATGGTTGTTCCTTGGATAGAATGACCGTTCCTTGGATAGAATGGTCGTTCTTGGATAGTCGTTCCTCATGGAATGGTTATTCCATCTCCTAGGGACGATCATTCCTCATGGAATGACCATTCCTTAGGAAGGAATGGCTATTCCACCTGGAGGAACGACCATTCTATGATGGAATGACCACCTTCCTATGTAATGATCATTCCTTACTCATGTATGATCATTCCTATATTATGTATAGTCGTTCCTCCTTAAGGTGGTCGTTCCTTATACGATGAACGGTTATTCATCCCTAAGGAAAGATCGTTTATTATCTAGTCAAAGTCGTGAGTTGATGGTAATGCCAACTTAGTGTCACATTGGTTTGTGATTCGTTTGTCGCATAGTATTCCTAATCAGATTTAGCAGCTAAAATTTTAGTTGCCAAATTTCCTATGGCAAGAACACAAAAATTGGGTGGGAACATGAAAACTTCAATTAATTTTGGCGACTAAATTCAATTTAGTTGCTATAGATGCGGTTTTGTAACTATTTTTAATATGCACAAAATAATTTGTTGCTAAATATACCCTGGGCCCTTTGTAATTATTGTCAAAAATTTGGATATTTCGATAATTTTGTTATGCTGTAACTAATCAAAATAGTTACCAATTAATTAACAAATATTTGTCATCTAATTTAACCACTATAATGTAGTTGCCAATAATTATTTTCTGTTAAAAAAAAATTAGATGCGAAGTCACATATTTAGATGCCAATTGTTCCGCTTTATCGGGAAAAATTTATGCCCAAAAATTGTCAATTAAATAAATTAGTCGCTATTGTAAATTGTTTTACAACTAATCAAATAGTTACAGAATATTAATATTAAACACCAAACATGGGAATAAATGTTAGATGCATAAAGTTTTTTCTTTTTAACAACTAAAAATTTAGTTGCTAATTGCTATTTGAAATAGTCATCTGCCTTAGATGCTGAATGCATAAAGGTAATTTAGCTGTATCGTGATTATTCAATTACTTGAAGAATGTACCTTTTAGTGAGAAAAAATTAGTGGCGAATCCAAAAAATTTAGACGCTGAATGCGTAAGGCTAATTTGGTAAAAGTGTTTCACAACTATTCTATCAGTTGAAAAATATATCTTTTAGTGAACATAAAATTAATGGTAAATTCTAATAATTTTAGACGCTGAATGTCGAATCCAAATCTGGTAAATTACTTTCCCCTACTATGAAATTAGTTGCAAAATGTTAGTTTTTATGAGAAAAAAATTAGTGGTAATTAAAGGCATTTCGTTAAACAAAAAAATAAAATCCTACTTCAACAAGAAAACTAATTAAAATAAGAAATTCCAACCGTTGACTAATTATAAAATAAGAAAGTCAAATTTAACTAAATTAAGACTTTCTAAATCAACTAAACTCCTAATTAAAATAGAACACTAGTTGAATTCCTATTATGAAACTTTAAATAAATAAGAAAATCAAATAAAGAAATGGAAACAAACGTAAATCCTAATTTAACACTATTTTCCCTACATTAAATTGTTGCCTTAATTGCCAGGGCTCCAACAGCTATTGGGTCCGGGAGATTGTACCCATCCGTGAAATTAGTGTGGATCGTTAATGAGTTGGTTTGACGGTTCAAAATAGTTGTGAAATAAGAAGTCCATGATCTTGCAACTGCTGCACTTCCTAAAAGGCTTTCAAGAAGTATGTTTCCAGCTATGATGAACGCTGCAAAGTCTCGTAATTCAATTCTTAAGTAAGCAAATGATCCACCTGCTACTGGGATCTCTATTGCAAATTCCGTGTAGCAGAAGAGAGAGAGCATTGCAGAAACATCAAGATTAAATAATGGCTAGTCCAGCATCGTTATTAGCTTCCTGTCCAGTAAGCACAGAGATACCAGCTCCAATAACCGCACCAAATCCAAACCAGGTGAGATTCCACTAGGTTAGGCAACGTTTCATGTCATTCTCACTTTGTTTCCGAAGCAAATCAATCTCATTGGCATCATCTGACCTGCTTATGAGACGATCCTTGAACCGAAAACGTGTCTGGGACAACATAAGAAGGTAGTTATCCCAGCTTTGAAAGGATTCTCCTGGTAAGAAATCTTGCTTGCTCCATCTCCTGTAACTTCTTTGCTGAACCTCCTCACCATGTTCTCCCACAGACCCATTTCCGAAACCTCTCCATTCAAAACTTTTAGATGCAAGCAACTACTAAATGAGAAGAGTTATGAGCTAGTGTCTCAGTTATGAGACGGTGATAGGAGAGGAATGTGAGGCCCTTATAGATGATAGATATTTTCCTCCATTATTGATCAATTAATTGCTTTACTTCTTGCTCACAGTTGACTTTTTGTTGAAGATTCAGCCAAATCAAGGACTCTTGCTAGCTGGGGCTATTGTTTTCATTGGATGATTGTGCATTGATTTGCCTGCTAATTGAATATTCTAAGGATTCCCTCTCTAATTTTCTGTAGATCACCGTGTTTAAATAAAATACATTAACATTTCTTTGTCTTGAATGGTTGCAATGCTGGCTGGGATCTGCAGTTTCATTTAAAATAATGTGAATTCCACCATTAAAAATAAGTTTTCTTCCTTTGGCATTTACTTAACTTCTCATTTCTTGTAGATTTCTGCTTCAGCCCATCTGTGAATGATGACACCGTCCCTATTTATTATTTTATAAGAAAAGTAGAGATTAATTGGGTCGTGTTCGATCCGTTCCACTAATATTATCGAGGCAGTATCATAGCAAAACACACGCACAAATATATATTTACAGTGACTTGAATTAGGATCAATATATCTGTAGAACCGTTGAACAAAAAATTTGGTTTGTTAATACCCCTAGCTCTAACTTCCCTTACCGTAAATCAGACCAATCCAAACCACTGAATTTGCAATAGCGAAAGATAGAAGGAGATGCTGAAGTGCCTTGGTGGCAAACCCTTCATCATCCAATTCATGTGATGGTAAGGTGGGAGGTGGTGCTGTCGAGGGTATGATGGAGGTGGGGGTTGCTTGCTAAGGGAATGAGGTGGAGGAGTTGCTGGCTAGGAGGAAAAGGGTGATGGGGGACTTTTTCGCCGCTGGAGAAGGGGGTGTGCGTGGGAGAATTTTAATTAGTCAAGCATATGTGAAGTCTAACTATCAAACAAAAATTTGATCCTATCAATAAGTTGAAAAATGCCATTTGTTTTATAATTGATGAAGTATATTGAAATATTGAACTCAAATTTTTTCTTTTTTTTATTTGGTCCACATATGCAATGTAGACCTTATCCACAATAGGAGTGTAAAATAAGAAGTAAAGAGTAGTATCATAAATTTACCGTGGGACCTCGTCACGGAACCAGGAGCTGGCCGAACCAGGGGCAGATGTGAAGGTTCTGACGCCGATGGAGGTGCCAATGTTGAAATGAAAGTTTCATTAACATATAGATACAGCTCAAACCGGACATTACAACTCGGAGTCAACACTCTTCCTCCTTTCTTTCCCCTAAAACACCATGGTAACTGAGAATCAGGTTCTTGAAGACATATAAAACAATCCCTAATCGACAGGCCCTGCATGCACTGTACCAGACTATACATTGTTTGATTAGCGCTAGAACTTTTCTTCTTTATCGTTGCAAACTTATCAGGAGAATACGGTGTTTTATTCGCGGCTTATGATAATTGCATTTGTGAAAGTGATTAACAGAAAGCTTGAGAGATAGAGGAGAACCACAAAGATCATGGTGTGAATGTATTTGTCTATCATTCGTGTTAGAGTAGTGTTGAAGAGGTATTCAAATATTTGCCTATGCACGAGTCAATAAGAGTAGGTGTACAAGTCATATAGGACGTGTATGGCGCTTCGCACTTGATTGGAGTAGAATGGATTGTCAAAATAGTGCAGCCAAAGTGCCAAATCACAAATCCAGTACACCCCAAAAATGGAGGTAAACATGTGACAAAAAGTAAATAAATACTGCAACGGATGTGTTCATCCGCTTAATGCAGTCATACTGCAAATAAACACACCCATAAGGATTCTAATGAGATGGCATTCATTAAATTTGTAAAGTCACTCGCACATTTTAAGAAAGGAAATGATATAAAATTGTCTAGCGGGGTACCAAATTTGAAAGGGTTACCTCATTAATAGAGCATCCTGTACCATGTGATGTGGACTGATCTGATTTTGCACCAGTCCGAGTAAAAGAAAATGCAGGTTGGGTTGGTTTAGCAAGTTTTACTGTATCACTTACCAACATAACAACCAGGGATGACATAATAGGTCTGTTTGTTGGATCTTCCTGAACACATAATAATCCAATATGAATGAATTTCAATAATTCAACTGGAACACATGATTGCACCATTGTTGGGTCCATTAGCTCTAATGCTTTTCCTTCACACCATAGCTTCCATGCCTAAAACATTAGATAAATAATGATCAACAGAGATTAAGGGTATATCACTTACTGGTATTTATTCTTTAAAGTCACATAAGGAGATAGTTACATACATATGCAATAAGGCTTTGGCTGTCTTTTGAATGATAAAATCAAGTATTTTTTCTCCCACTTATAATCTCTAGTAGAAGAACACCAAAACTAAAAACGTCTGACTTAACTGAAAATATTCCATCCATAGCATACTCTGGAGCCATATATCCACTATAAAACATTCAACCAAAACAAAGGAGAATAAGGGTTAATAATCAGTACTTTTTCGGGTTAAGAGGTTACATCTCTAAAAGCATATTTTTTTTTTTTCAGGAATTGTTTTCCAAAGATAAGGAAACAAAACGAAATTGTAAGATATGCATATATACTTACTATGTTCCCACAACTCTATTAGTATTAGCTTCATTTTGATTTCCACCAAATATTCTTGCCATTCAAAAGTCTGATATCTTTGGATTCATATTATCATCTAACAAAATATTACTAGTCTTGAGATCACGATGAATAATTTTGAGTCGAGAATCCTCATGTAAATATAAAAGACCCCGTGCAATTCCATTAATGATGCTCATGCGTCTCTTCCAATCCAGATGTATATCACTTGTTGAATCTGATAATGAAATTATCAAAACTTAACTAAGATTACATATTTTATCTGCTTCCTGGCTAAACAAAATGGAAGTAAAGAAAGCATTTAAGGGTTTTTAGAGGCAAACCAAACAGGTGAACATCAAGGCTCTTGTTGGGCATGTACTCATAGATGAGCAGAAATTCTTTTTCCTCTAAGCAACATCCCCACAGTCTCACAAGATTTTTATGTTGTAATTTGGCAATTAAGGTAACTTCATTCTTGAACTCTTGTACCCCTTGCCCTGATGTTCTTGAGAGCCTCTTTACTGCGATTTCCTTACCATTTGTTAGAACTCCCTGAAAACAAATCTCCATTGTTACTATAAAACACAAACATAAAGAGCCTATTAAAGGAAAACAAGTACTTATGTGTTATAGTGCTTCTTTAGTTTATCATGATATTAATTTAAAATTATATATTATTATGAACATAATTCATATGATAAGCCCAAATCTGTGTCATATCACTTGAGTTAAAAACATTGTATATAAATTTGATATATTAATTATAAATTTATACTTTTTAATAGTACACTATGTACATGAAGTTTGGATTCTAGCTCTATATACAGATCACAAAGTGTGGTTGCTAATCTTATAGAAAATTAACATCATTTATTATATCAACTTATGATTAATGTAATATCATTATATTATAACCACCGTATCAATTGTAATCCAAAATATGAACTAAAACCACAGATAGAATTAGCTCTCTTATCATATTAAGTAATCAATATGACACTAAATTAAAAGCTTAATGTTAACATTTACCATATAATTACCTTGTAAACAGGGCCGAACCCACCTTCTCCTAGCTTGTTTTCATCAGAGAAATGTCTTGTAGCCTCAAAGATTTGGCCTAAAGGGAAAATAGGGAAATCTTGAGATTCCACCTCATGCTTCTCTCGTAAAATATTTTGCTCATCTCCTGAGCGAAGTACTTGAAGTGCTCGTCTTTTTGCTTTCTGCTCTGCAAAGACACACTGAATCAATTTCCAAACAATGAAAGAAATAGGTAATTAAAATAATTCTTGTTATCTACGATCAATTTAAACTATGACAATAAATATGAAATTTTGTATATAAACTGATGTGATCTAATATAATTAGAGGACTGAAAGTACACTAAAATTTACCCACTAATAAAAGAAGGAATATGTGACAATAAAAGAATAATGGCCCACTGCAATTTGTACATAAAATTAAAGTTTATATATTTGTCATTACCTTTATATCTTCTCCATATAAGCGGCAGGAAATAAGCAGAGAGCTTGAGTACTATAATTATTGGTATAATTGTCCCGATTGCAATCCATACTGCTTGTCTTCTTTTTCCTACTTTGTCAGGTCAAAATATTTTTAATTTATTAAAGTCTTTCATTGCATGAAACATTGATAACTATTAAAATTTGTGTTAATTTTAGTATTTATTATGTTGTAATATTTTTATTATTTCTTTATCGTCTACTCATCAGTATGATTTAAAAATAATTACCCATAAATCTGCATGACTAACCCCTATTATAAAGTAGTTTTTAAAATTAACTTGTCTATTTATTTTATTGGATGATCTCACAACATCAGCCAAGTAAGAGGTGAAACCATCCCTAACATAACTTTTATTACAACATAATGTCATTATACTATTAAAAGGTCTCACCATATCAACAAATGAATTAGTGATAATTTTTTAGAGGTAAGCGGTTCTGGGTACCCTATAATATTTTGGAGAACTGGAATCGGAACCACATGGTACAAATTTCTAGAATTCTGGTTCTTAAATTCAAGGAACTGGAACCTAAAATGCAGGTTCCGATTCCTTCCCCAGATACCCTATAAAAAATCAATTACCCTCTTATTAGTTTAAAAAATAACAAAAATACCTTAAAAGTTTACAAACACACCCCTAACAAATTAAGAAAACCTGCATTTAGTAGTTTTAAACTTTTGATTACTCATTCATTTGTGTCCAATGTGACTCATAAATATTGTACTAAATTTCTAATCATTTAATTAAGTATTGTATTAATGTTTATAATGTGATATTACAATTAACTAAGTAATCATACTATAAATCTATAATGTAATGTTATAATTAATTAAATTTATAATAATTTAATTAAGTAATGTACTAATGTAACAAATTACTAATGTTTATAATGTAATGTTATAAATTTATAATTAATTAAGTAATCATTTATGATTTAACTATGTAATGTTATAATTAATTAAATGATCATACTATAATATAATCTTATAATTAATTAAGTAATCATTTAACTATAATGGAATGTTATAATTAATTAAGTAATCATATTATAATTCTATAATCTAATGTTATAATTAATTAAATTTCTAATCATTTAATTAAATATTGTAAATGTTTATAATCTAATGTTATAATTAATTAAGTAATCATACTATAAATCTATAATGTAATATTATAATTAATTAAATTTTTAATCATTTAATTAAGTATTGTACTAGTGTTTATAATGGAATGTTATAATTAATTAAGTAATTATTTAATTAAGTAATCATTTGTTTATAATGTAATGTTATGATTAATTAATTTTCTAATCATTNAACCAGACAATAGAGAGCTGAAGAAAAATCAAATATTGGTGGAGATAAATGTCACCAAATCAAAGAAAGGGAAAGCACTAAAATGAGACACGACTTGTGTATGTATCAAGCCATATTGTTGACGCTATTGACTATAAAGACTTGGAAGAATACAATTATAGATAGTTTCTCGAGGTTTGCATATGCATGCATCCTGCAAATTTCTCATGGAAAATAGAGTAAATTCTTTGTTAGTTCACATTTCAGTTTCAAAACCAATTACGTTTTCCTGCAGGTATATGAAAACTCTTTCATAGTAGGATTTTAATTTCGCTCTAAATGTCAGTGATAATACCCTATTATTACAAATTAATTTTTTTTATTTTTTTATAAATATCCCCAGAAGTCCAATTTCAATAAACTCTAGTCCAATTAAGTTATGCCAAGCAGAGCCTTAGTTTCCGAGCAGAGAAATGTAGAATACCAGGTGGTACGTGCCACATATTCACCTATCAATTTTATTTCAAAATCAAATAGTGCACCTAGAATATTTATTAAAATTATTATTCCAATTTTAGCAAGACGTATCACCATTAATTCGCTACAAGAAAAATTACTTTTGACGTCTAACAAAATTAGATGCAGATCATCCAATTTAGATGCTAATTGTCTTGTGCATCTAAATTTACGTAATTGCCATTTAGTTGCAGAATCATTGTTCGAGAAAGAATGAGCAACTAAATATTAGGTTAGACGTATAAATTTTTTTTTTAGCGACTAACAATTTAGTTACTAATTGCTGTTTGAAATAGTCCTGTGCCTTAGATGTTAAATGTGTAAGAGTAATTTAATAAAATTGTATCGAGACTATTCAGTTACTTGAAGAATGTACCTTTTGGGCATCTCTAAAATGACGCAAAAGATGACCTCCAATCCAACGCCAAACATTACACAAATTTGGTGTCAATGCATAATGCCACGTCAAATTTGATATAGTACTATTTATGCATGTCAATTTGGCATGACACTGTTCAAACACTATAAAAAATATTTTTATTTTATTTTTGTTATTTATATTTATGTTAATTTGATTATTATTTATATTAATATTTATANATTACTAATGTTTATAATGTAATGTTATAAACTTATAATTAATTAAGTAATCATATAAATATAATGTAATATTATAATTAATTAAATAATCATTAAACTAGTAATGTACTAATGTTTATCAATTTATTAGACGATATTAATTAATTACTAATTTACTGTAGATATAGTTAGAACTTGATAATTGAAGTAAATAACTAAATATTATATTATTATTCAATCAAATATATTATTTTATTCAAAAATAATTTTTTTAATAACATTAAAGCACTATTAAGTTATTCTATTAGGTTATTATAATATATTAAAGTTTTTTATATGGTGTAGTTAATATGTATAATTGTATATATATTTAATTAGGTTATTGTAAAAATTTAATTTTTTCTATTTTAATTTTTTTATATGTTAAATGCAATAGACCCCCCATTCTTTACAGATATTTTGTTTCAACCCAGGTTTCAAAACAGGTTCCAATTCGAGTACCCACCCTCGACTCAAGCATGTTCCAAACTAGGTACCCGCCCTCGGTTCCAAGCAGGTTCCAAACTTGGTACCTGCTTCAAGTTCCTTTCCTAAGTTCCGATTCTAATTCTGGTTCCTCCACATGTAGGATCTGACATTAGAACCGCACAATGTCGATTTAAAAAAAAATGGAATTGAAACCTACCCGTACAGTATCGATTCTGGGTAAGTTTCGGATCTACCCTCTACCCGTGCTCACCCCTAAATATCTCATATAAGCATTTCTCTTGATCATTTGGTGTGAAAATGTTGTATCCGTGACTTACCCAAAAAAAAAAAAAATGTTGTATCCATATTTTGTACGGGCATGTGGTATTATACTGTAAAATGTATGAATAACCGCACCTAGAATTTTCTAACATTAAATATAAAATTCATAAAGGGATATTCGATGTTAACGACAAGAAGCTTAATCACTTTACCTTGAGACTCTGTCACAGAACCAGGAGCAGGCGGAAACCGACTCACAGGTGGAGGTTCCGGTGCCGACGCCGGTTCTACTATTGAAATGAAGGATTCATTAAAAAACGAATACAATTCAAACTGGGAATTACAGCTCGGAGTCAACACTCTTCCTCCTCTCTTCCCCCCACAACACAGTGGTAAATCAGCATTGGCCGCTCGAAGACACGTAAAACAATCTCTACTAGACAAATCCTGTGTGCACTGCACAAGCCCATACAACGTTTCATTAACTCTAAAATTCTCCTTCTTAGCTCCCACGAACTTATCCGGTGAATAAGCAGCTTTACTCGCGGCTGCGTTCATAAAACTCAACACCGAATCATCAAACTTGTCAGCCTCCGTAACATTTTCGGTGTTTGGCATCCAAACTGAGGGATTTTGCGACACAATAGAGACGAAAGACTGGTTTGAGTAACGCAAATGGCACTCATCGTACCATATTATAGCTAGTTTTCCAGTTGGGCAAATTGTAGTTACGTGTCTGGTTGCATAAGTAACACAGTCTTGGCAAGTGGTGGAGTTGAGATCGCGACGGCAAAGGAAGAGACCGTAGACCTCGTCAGGAGCTTGGCCTGCGGCAGCGTTGCGGAAAACGACTTGGGAGAGTCCATTGGAGGTGTTGAAAGTGGCGTTGGAGGAAAGAGTGGAGAAGAGAAGCTTGAGGTTGGAGTGATAAATGCTGTTAATGGCGAAATTGAAAGAGGATGGACAAGAATTGCCGACGTATACTGGGGTGATAAATGCATTTGTGAAAGTGATGGTCAGAAAGCTTGAGAGGTAGAGAAAAACCACAAGGATCATGGAGAATAAATTTACAGGAAAAAGCTAGCTCCAATATTTCTTAGATTAATTTTGTTTTCAGAAATGATTAGACACAAAGCGATGAAGATATGCATATAAGATGAAGATGAAGCCAATCAGGTGTATATAAGATGAAGATCGAGTTTACTTTTTATAAATTGATACTTTGATAGGAGTTTACGAAATTTGTTCATTTTTTTTATAAGTGAATCCTCAAGCCTGAATTATAAATTTTTGCAAATTTTTAGCAACTCTTGCATGCAAGTTGTGTAAAATTAAATCAGTAATTATAAATAAATAAAAAAACTACAAATGAATATTTAAAGTAAATGTTTTAAAATTTTATAATTCTATAAGATAAGATTAACTGTATGACAAGTCAATATATTTATGGTCTTCCAATCAATTTAAAATTGTAGGGTAGATGTCCCACAATTGCATATTAAAATTTAAAACAAGAAGACAAAAAGGAACATACCTTATAATATAAGTTTTAATGTAGACTTAGCACCCGAAAAGATGACTTTTAGTAATAATAAATTATTAATAATAATATCAGCTCCTAATCTACAACAAACGGTTCATATTTGGTTCATAATTTAAATTAAAACCTTTCTTTCTAGTTATCTTTGTTTAATCTAATATTGGTTAAACAGCACTGTCATATAACGACCGGTTCTACGAATAAGGACACTTGTTCTCCATGTGGTGAGAATGACATACTTGATGTTGGCTTCTGGCAAATTTAGTATTATTTTTTCTTTTCTTTTGTTTATTTATTTTTTATTACCTAAAATAGTTTGAAATAGACTCTCTTCTATGTGGATATCCTAAAGTCTTTAACGGATCAAAGATGAGTAAAAGTTAATAACTGGTTGTTAACCACCTAACCACCATTAGGTGACCTGATGATAAAAGAGCAGAAGAAAATCTAACATGATCTTCCAAGTTTAAATCCGATAGTAAAAGAGCAAGATAATGATCTAATACAGTCTTCCAAGTTCAAATCCTCTTGATAGTGAAAGAGCAAAAGAAGAATCTAATATAGTCTTCAAAGTTCGAATCCCCACAGTTACTAATAGGGTGACCATTGGAGTTTTTATCCGACCAGTAGTTTCAGAGTCTTAGACGATTCGTTAAAGTATGTGTAAACTATTCCAGACACTTCCAATCATCAAAAAATAAATAATAATAACTGGTTGTTCATATTTATTTTGCATGTTAAAGACTTCATAACGTCCTCACCTGAGTATTTTCCCATATAGTTCCTATGAAATACTTAATTTTCACTTCATAAATCAAATGAGGGAATATAAGTGGCGCCCAAATGGGAAAGATAAGGTAATTTTAATTTGACCATTGATTGGAGGTTAAAAGCTAATGGAAAAAAGAGATTAAAGTGGAAGGAAATTTTGGGTGCGGTAGGACGGAAAGCTAATAGGTAATAAGTAGCCGGTTGTGTGACATATGATTGCAAGAGTTTAAATATTCATAGAAAAAAGAGATTAAAATAAATGCATGCATCCTGGAAATTTATCATGGAAAATAGACTAAATTCTTTGTCAGTTCACATTTCAGTTTCAAAACCAATTTCGTTTTCCATGTTAGGTATACGAAACTTTTTCATGGTAGGATTTTAATTTCGCTCTAAAAGTCAGCGATAATGACCCTATTATTACAAATTAATTTTTTGACGTCCTCAACTCCTTCAGGTGTCCCCTCAAGTCCGAGAATACGAGTACAAGCACTGACAAAATGCCTTGCATAGTCATACGTGTGAAAACTGCAAAATAAAAATTAAATACTTTACATGCTTGACATATACAAAGAAAATTCTATCTAACCAATTACCACAAATTGAATATTATAATTATGGATATGACAAAAGGAAATATACAAACTGTAATATTGAAATAAGTTAACACAGCAAGGACTTACATGATGCCCAGACAATCTATCTAGAAACTGAAATTCCACCATAAGGTTTTCTTCCTTCTCTTTATTTTAAAGTAAATCATATGAGTCTGATAGGAGATGTCATTCTGAAACCAATCTGACCTTTGACTTAATCACAAAACAGGCTAAATTAAGGAAAACATTAAACTAATAATTACCTAAGATAAAGGGATCTTTAAGAAATGCCAGACTTAACAATAGGCCTTAGATGGATAAAGCAAGGGGATTAATATGAATAGTAAGTTGTCCAGAGATTCATGATAGAAGAACATCATAAATTATGGGAAACCCACAACAGCTTTTCCTTACACCCACTTAATTTTCTCACATTGCAAGAACTAAAATACAAAGGCTTAGGTCAATGCAACAAAAGTTGGTGTAAACAGAAATATGCCTATCGTCTTTTAGGTTATTAACTATAGCATTCATCGGATCAAAGAATAACCTAGCTATAACCTTACTATGAGAAACATTCATGACAACCAAAATTGAGTTTCTGAGTAAAATTCATCAGTTCTAAGCAACATGCAAAATACAACAAAAACTCACCCAACCAAATCAGCAGCCAGAACTGCATGCAGCAGATCTGATCGAGATGGAAGTGTCCTGCAGATTTCAGAAGAAGGGAAGGGTGTGCGGAGAAACCAACTGACTTTCATTCCACTGTTGCGGTCCTTTAGGCACTTTGGAAGAAACATGAGACGGTAGTCATGGCACCACACAACATCTCCATCCTTATAGTGTTTGTTTACAACCTCAGCAAACATTTGATTAGCCTTTATATATGCAGCAAACTGAGACTGGAAACTCCAGATGGTGGCCAGGCGGTCTTCTTGTGGAAGTCCAAGGTAATGAAAAAGAGGCCACAAGATGTTGTTGCAATAGCCATTGTAGTATTGATGAACGATGTCCTCATCAAGGAATACAGGAATACACCTCTGCAATAGCAAATAGCAAATATAGTGTTGATGAACTATGTTTTCTCATCCAAGAATTTTATACATTTATCATATGTAAGGGGGGAAACCAATGTCACGAAGTCATATAATAAAGTCATTACTTACCAATGTCACAAACACATAACAATGAATAAGGACTTAAATCACAAAATGATTTTGATGACAGAACTTTATCCTTTTCAGCCAATGCTTTAGTAAGTGCTTTCTGTCCAATCTCTGGCACTTTACTCCAACCATCATATCCATCTCGCCTCAAACTCCTTCACACCCAAACAATACATCCATAAGGCTATGTGTTCAATCAAGTGAAAAAGTCATGTCATTAATTAAAACTAAACGAGATATTCAAATAAAACAGAAATACAATGCAAAAACTATTAAAGACATTAAGAATTTAAATGGACAAACAAATGAAATGATAGTTCAAATGCCACTTACCCAGAAGGGACTGACCACCCCCTAGCACTTATCTTAGAGCCAAGAGTCTTACCTCTCCTGACTGCAGAGACCGGGAGCCTATTGGCCACCACCGCAGTCGCTGCTTCAAGGCCTTCATCTGCCCTTTCAACTCCTCACTCACCCTTGTAAACACTTCCAACTCTTGGTCAACATAGAGGGTCCCAAGTTGTCATTGTTTTTTACCCTTGGTTCATGCTCATATAATTCAGGGCCCGATTATATCAGTCGCCTCAATCAGAAGGGATGCCCTGCAGCTTTTCCTTAGGTTCTTTCTTTCTTATCTCTTAAGAGCAGTTCCAGACGATTAGTTTGTACTTGTACCAGGGAAGAAATAATGTTGTAGTGTTTCCAAGCATAAGCCGCTCTAGAACCAACCTACAATACCAAATTATGAGTTCTCACAACATTGTATTTTCTACACCTGTTTCATGTAAATTAAGTTCTCAGCCATTAAATGATGCACACTAGGTTTTAATCATCAAAATATCGGGTACCAACTAGTCAAATTATTTAACATTGGCTTTAACAATCGTTACTAAAATTCTACGAAAGTAAATTTCTTGCATTTCTAATTTGAAAAGAACAAGCGGAAAGTAGATAAATCAAAAAACACACAAAAAAATGGCAAGAAGTCAGATAGAATGACAAAAAAGAGGAAGGCATCCACAAAATTAGAGAGGCAACAGAAAGTCATCTACCATAGAGTCCTGGTTACTTAAGCCATTATCAAAATCCAACAAACCCAATCTCTTACATCTGAATTCTTCCTTTGACCGCCTGAAGAAGAAATAATAAAAAATGTTTGGACACATGTGAGATTTGAATGACCAGATCAGTTACACAATGAAATAGGTTGGGTTTACTAAATTTGTGAACTTCGATTACTCACATTTGTGAACTTCAAAACACGGAACTGGAATCGGACGAGAAGATGGTGGAGAAGAATGGACTATGAAGAAGAAGATTGAATGAATGAACGAAGCCGAGAAGAAGAAGGATGGGTGAGTGAGTGGAGAAAAGAAGAGAAGATGCGCGCAAATTGAAAGGGGAAATTGGGGAATTAGGGATTGGGAATTAGGTGGGTTTATCTTACATATATGGAATGGGTTTTTAGTAAATAAACAAAAATTTGGTCATTTCTGCCTCCTATTATTTTTAACTATTTTTTAGTTACTATAATTATTTCATATTTTGTACATCAAATGAACAAAGGTAGGTTGATAAACAATCTCACAAACCCCCTGTGACACTTGAGTTGGCAACCCATCAAAAACCGTCACAAAACTAGAACTCAACCCCACCAAAACTGTTGCAAAACTAGAACTAAGAAGAAACGCTCTTCCTTAATATGAATGACAGTTATGAGAAAGAATGGTTGTTCCTGGATAGAATGACCGTTCCTTGGATAATGGTCATTCCTTGGATGAGCCGTCCTCATGGAATGGTTATTCCATCTCCTAGGGACGATCATTCCTCATGGAATGACCATTCCTTAGAAAGAATGACTATCCACCGGAGGAACGACCATTCTATGATGGAATGTATCCTTCCTATGTATGATCATTCCTCTCGTGGAATGATCTCCTATATGATGTAGGTCTTCATCCTTAAAGAGTGGTCGTTTTATACGATGAAAGGTTATCATCCTAAGGAACGATCGTTCATATCTAGTCAAAGTCGTGAGTGACATAGTACTGCCAACTTAGTGCCACATTGGGTTTGTGAGATCGTTTGTCAGCCTAGTATTACCTAAATCATATGTAGCAGCTAAAATTTTAGTTGCCAAATTTCCTATGGCAAGAACACAAAATTGGGGGGGAACACGAAAATTTCAATTAATTGGCGACTAAATTCAATTTAGTTGCTATAGATGTGTGGTTTTGTAACTATGTAATATGCACAAAAAATTTGTTGCTAAAATACCTGAGCCCTTGTAATTATGTCAAAAATTGGATATTTCGATAATTTGTTATGCTGTAACTAATCAAAATAGTTACCAATTAATTAACAATATTTGTCATCTAATTTAGGACTATAAGTAGTTGCCAATAATTGTTTTCTGTTAAAAAAAAAATAGATGCGAAGTCACATATTTAGATGCCAATTGTTCCGCTTACTGGGAAAAATTCTGCTCAAAAATTGTCAACTAAATAAATTAGTCGCTATTGTAAATTGTCTGCAACTAATCAAATGTTACAGAATATTAATTTATTTAAACACCAAACATGGAATAAATGTTAGACGCATAAAGTTTTTTCTTTTTAACAACAACTAAAAATTAGTTGCTAATTGTATTTGAATAGTCCTCTGCCTTAGATGCTGAATGCATAAGGTAATTTAGCTGTATTGTGATATTCAATTACTTGAAGAAGTACCTTTTAGTGAGAAAAATTAGTGGCGAATCCAAAAAATTTAGACGTTGAATGCGTAAGGCTAATTTGGTAAAAGTGTTTCGCAACTATTCTATCAGTTGAAAAAATATCTTTTAGTGAACATAAAATTAATGGTAAATTCTAATAATTTTAGACTGAATGTCGAATCAAATCTGGTAATACTTTCCCCTACTATGAAATTAGTTGCAAAATGTATTTTTATGGAAAAAAATTAGTGGTAATTAAAGGCATTTCGTTAAACAAAAAAATAAAATCCTACTTCAAAAAAGAAAACTAATTAAAATAAGAATTCCAACCGTGACTAATTATAAAATAAGAAAGTCAAATAACTAAATTAAGACTTTTCTAATCAACTAAACTCTAATTAAAATAGAACACTAGTTGAATTCCTATTATGAAAATTAATAAAATAAGAAAATCAAATAAAGAATGGAAACAAACGTAAATCCTAATTTAACACTATTTTCCCTACATTAAATTGTTGCCTTAATTGCCAGGGCTCCAACAGCTATTGGGTCCGGGAGATTGTACCCATCCGTGAAATAGTGTGGATCGTTAATGAGTTGGTTTGACGGTTCAAAAGTTGTGAAATAAGAAGTCCATGATCTGCAACTGCTGCACTTCCAAAAGGCTTTCAAGAAGTATGTTTCAGCTATGATGAACGCTGCAAAGTCTCGTAATTCAATTCTTAAGTAAGCAAATGATCCACTGCTACTGGGATCTCTATTGCAAATTCCGTGTAGCAGAAGAGAGAGAGCATTGCAGAAACATCAAGATTAAATAATGGCTAGTCCAGCATCGTATTAGTTCCTGTCCAGTGAGCACAGAGATACCAGCTCCAAAACGCACCAAATCAAACCAGGTGAGATTCCACTAGGTTAGGCAACGTTCATGTCATTCTCACTTGTGTTTCCGAAGCAAATCAATCTCATTGGCATCATCTGACCTGCTTATGGACGATCCTTGAACCGAAAACGTGTCTGGGACAACATAAGAAGGTAGTTATCCAGCTTGAAAGGATTCTCCTGGTAAGAAATCTTGCTTGCTCATCTCCTGTAACTTCTTTGCTGGACCTCCTCACCAGTTCTCCACAGACCCATTTCCGAAACCTCTCCATTCAAAACTTTTAGATGCAAGCAACTACTAAATGAGAGAGGTATGAGCTAGTGTCTCAGTTATGAGACGGTGATAGGAGAGGAATGTGAGGCCTTATAGATGATAGATATTTTCCTCCATTTTGATCAATTAATTGCTTTACTTCTTGTCACAGTTGACTTTTTGTTGAAGATTCAGCCAAATCAAGGACTCTGCTAGCCGGGGCTATTGTTTTCATTGGATGATTGTGCATTGATTTGCCTGCTAATTGAATATTCTAATGATTCCCTCTCTAATTTTTGTAGATCACCGTGTTTAAATAAAATACATTAACATTTCTTTGTCTTGAATGGTTGCAATGCTGCTGGGATCTGCAGTTCATTTAAAAAATGTGGAATTCCACCATTAAAATAAGTTTTTCTCCTTTGGCATTACTTAACTTTTCATTTCCGCCCATCTGTGGATGATGACACCGTCCCTATTTATATTTTATAGAAAAGTAGAGATTAATGGGTCGTGTTCGATCCATTCACTAATTATCGAGGCAGTATCATAGCAAAACACACGCACAAAATATATATTACAGTGACTTGAATTAGGATCAATATATCTGTAGAACCGTTGAACAAAAAATTTGTTTTGTTAATATAGCAACCAGTGAAATGTATGAATCCAATCCATAATCCTAACTTTCCCAAATCAAACCCTAACTTTAACTTCCCTCGCGTAAATCAAACCAATCCAAACCACTGAATTTGCAATAGCGAAAGATAGAAGGAGATGCTGAAGTGCCCTGGTGGCAAACCCTTCATCATCCATCATGTGATGGTAAAGTGGGAGGTGGTGCTGTCGAGGTATGATGGAGGTGGGGGTTGCTGGTAAGGGAATGAGGTGGAGGAGTTACTGGCTAGGAGGGAAAGGCTGATGGGGCGTTTTTTGCCGGGGAGAGGGGGTGTGCGGGGAGAGTTTTATTAGTCAAGCATATGTGAAGTCTAACTATCAGAAAAAATTTGATCCTCAATAAAGTGAAAAATGCCATTTGTTTTATAATTGATGAAGTATATTGAAATATTGAACTCAAATTTTTATTTTTTTTTTGGTCCACATATGCAATGTAGACCTTATCCACAATAAGAGTGTAAAAAGAAAAATAAGAAGTAAAGAGTAGTATCATAAATTTACCGTGGGACCTCGTCACGGAACCAGGAGCTGGCGGAACCAAGGGCAGATGTGGAGGTTCCGACGCGATGGAAGTGCCAATGTTGAAATGAAAGTTTCATTAACAATAGATACAGCTCAAAACGGACATTACAACTCGGAGTCAACACTCTTCCCTTCTTTCCCCTAAAACACCATGGTAACTGAGAATCAGTGTCTTGAAGACTATAAAACAATCTAATCGACAGGCCCTGCGTGCACTGTACCAGACTATACATTGTTTGATTAGCGCTAGAACTTTTCTTCTTTATCGTCCGAAACTATCAGGAGAATCCGGTGCTTTATTCGCGGTTATGATAATTGCATTTGTGAAAGTGATTAACAGAAAGCTTGAGAGATAGAGGAGAACCGCAAAGATATGGTGTGAATGTATTTTGTCTATCTGCGTGTT